AAACAGTAAGCTTCAGTTGCACGTGGCTCTCTTGAGTTGAGCCCAAGTCCATACCAGTTGGCAATGTATCTCTACTATCATTATTTTTTTTCTTGTGCCAGCAGCTCCACTTCTGGCTCTTTGGTAGTTAATTAAAGGGGTTTTTTGTTTGTTTGTTTGTTTTTTAAGTCTCTGGAATTTTCTGTTCAGACTGACTTTGAACAGAAATCCTCAGATCTCAGATTCTTGAGTAGCTGGAATTACAGGCGTGAACCAACAGGACACATTCATCCTACTTTTAAGTCCATATTTAAATACTCACTAGAGAGATCAGCACTGAAATGTTGGCTGGTCTTCGACCTTGACTGGTACAGAATACAAAATACAGAATAGGTGGCAAATCAAAACATTTTTAAAAATTTTCTTGAGGCAATTCAATCATCTAGTCAAAAGTAGAGTAAAATACCTTTCAAGTTAATGTTTATGTAGTCTCAGTAATAGAATAGAAAACCAAGATAATTTTCCTTTCTAATTATTTCTAGCACTGAGGTTTTTCTTCCAGCCTTTTAAATCTTGGCTACCAAATCTAGACTATTCTAGACCTGGCTCACAGCTACAGTCTCCCAGTTGGCCTTGACTCAATTATTCTGTACTCCTCCTTCCACCCAACTCTAACTTAATCAGACAAAGCTTCTGGCCTTTTATAAATATTAGTTCAGCTGAATGCTCAGAGCACCATGATGATCAAGATGTTTGTTTTATTCTGAATCAAGATCAGCTCTTTGGGCTGACTGTCAGGACCCTGGATACTTTCGTACGGTAATTCTCATCAAATCTCACTTGCTACTAATCTTGGGGCAACATATAACTTGCAACCTAATTATAACAATGCCATCCATTAAATAATTGAGAACATGTCCTCTCAAGGACCATCTTGCTCTAAATAGAATTCCCATCACTTGCTGTTAGATAAGATTTTAAAAGACATCAGTGCCTCGTACTTAGTGAAAATCAAATTAATGAACACATATACAGCCTCTAGAACAATGCATGATGATGGTCACCCTTTAAGTCTGCCTGTTCATTTTATTTTATTTTATTTTGTGCTAGTCCTGGGGCTTGGACTCAGAGCCTGAGCACTCTCTCCCTTAACAGTTTTCCTCAAGGCTACCACTTGAGCCACACCTCCGCTTCTGACTTTTTGTTCACAGTCTTTCCTGTCTGGACTGGTTTCGTACCTCAATCGTTAGATCTCAGCCTCCTGAGTAGCTGGGATTACAAGTGTGAGCCAACAGTGCTAGCTAGTCCATATGCTTTGTGATGCTGGGTGAGGACTTGGCATTGCTCCTTTGATCTTTGTATGTGGTTCCAGGTTCTACCAATAGAGGGAGCTGGAAGGAGCCTGCAAGTCGTGAGGAAGGAAAGAAAAAGGGCCTATGGCCTTAGCATCAACCAGGCACTTGCACTGAGTTCTAACTTGCAGATCAATGTGGTACTTTAAAATACAATGTCAATACACTTCTTGGCGCAATGGTACTTCCCTGAAGAGATGCAAACTCTGGCCCCAAAGGGCTTCTTCTCTGAGCTTTAGAAGTTAAGATGAAGTCTACTATATGAGATAATAATAATAAAAATAAAATCTCCAGCAAATGTTATCTCTACCATTCTCCCGGTGAAAGTTGCTCTTCTCTAGTTCCACCAGTCTTCTGGTAGAAAAGTAGCCTTTATCTTCTGTGCTACTAGTGAAAGATAACCTTTTATATCCTAACAATTATCTTCAGTTAGCTGGCTGTTCCAGGATAAGTCATAAAATGTTCTAGGCAGTGACTTTTCTTTAGATGTACAAAGCCCAGGACATTCGAAGACCTACACATAATAAATGGCAGCTTGTTCCTGCAACAGAAAAGCAGACCACCCAAAAATTAGAACTATCTTGGCACCCAATCTATCTGATATGCCTCCTCACAGTGTCCTATAAAAACTATGCAGTAGCTCATGCTTATAACAGCTACTTGGGGAGTAGAGGCCAGGAAGATTGTGGTTCAAGGCTAGCCTGGAAAAAAAGTTAAGTGGGACACCATCTCAACCAGTAATCTGGACGTGGTGGTGTGCACCTGCCATCCTAGTCACACAGAAAATATAAGTAGGGGGATCTCAGTCTAAGGCTGGTGCCAAGCAAGAATATGAGTCCCTACCTGAAAAATATCTAAAACAAAAAGGCTTACAGTTCATGGCTTAAATAGCAGAGCATCTATCTAGCAAGCATGAGTCCTTGAGTTCAAATCCCAGTACCACCACAAAATATAAAGTATTGTGCACGCAATCCCAAAGGATGGTCTTTTTCAAGAATGAAAGTCCCCATTTTCTAATTTATTAGCTGTTGTTGTTTTGGTTGGTCATGAGGCTTGAACTCTGCCTGGAAACTATCTCTGAGCTCTTTTGCTCAAGGCTAGCACTCTCACCACTCTAAGCCACAGCTCCACTTCCAGTTTCCTGGTGGTTAATTGGAGATAAGAGTTTCATAGACTTTCCTCCCCCGGCTAGCTCAGAACCACGATCCTCAGATCTCACCCTTCTGAGTAGCTAGGATAACAGGTGTGAGCCACCACTACTTAACACCTTTTTACTAATAAAGCTCTATCCTCCCTCAGCATGCTGACTCTACTTACCTGCTTCAGTTACAAGAGCGCCACCAGGCAATATCCAGAGGTCAGCACCCAGTTGTGCAGATCCACCCTTCCAAGTTTCTCAGTTTAAATAACCCCACCCTTTTCTCTTCATTCTGCCCTAGAGACGCTGGGTGCTTCCTGAATTACCTCAGCTTTCTTCTCTGGCTCTTTCAGTCCCCCAAATACTTAAATTTAACAAGTCTCTCTATTGAAATTCCTTGGGTGTGAATTACTGTTTGCTTGTCCCCTGAATGAGTTTGATACACAATCATGTGAAAGATTCCAGTGATTATTATTTGCTATCTTCCTTACTTAAATATTGTGTGTTTGAGCTTCCAGATTCCACCCCACAACCCAGGCTCTTTACTAAGGACTGGAGATATTGACATGAATAAGACAATGTCTGTGTTTTGAAGTGAAGTGCAATCTAGTAAAGAGAACCCATATGAATTTCAAAGAAATGTAGTAATGTGCTATGGTGGGTATGGGGCTCAGTAGAGACCCAAAGATGGGAGTAGCCGGCTGTTCAAGGAACAGGTGTTGAGGGGAGGGGTAAGAGAGAAGTCATAGCTTTGCCTGCAATGCATTTACTTCCTTTCTCAGCTCTTCTGACCTATAACAACTTAATCCAAATCGTCCATCAAGGCCTCTTTCATCACGTCGGCCCTCCTGCATACTATTCCTTCTCATGGGAACCTGCCGCTCATTGAACTCACTCACATGTCACAATGCTATATGACTTACTAAGATAGTCACGTTCAATATTTATTTAAGCATTGTAGCCTCCTCCTTTCCTTGATAAGAAATGTACTCATTACCTTGCCCATGTAATTGTAACCCCTCTGTACACAGTATTTTCACAATAAAAAAATATTTATGTAAACCTTACACTACCACTACTATAGGTCATTATTGTTTGTTTGATTGTTTTGGTTTTTTTTTTAACAAAATTATATTTGAAAAAAAAAAAACCCTGATGCTCAAAGCAATTAAACAATTTGATCTGGGTCTTATACCTGAAACTCCCTCCGTCACTTCTTCATCGACTCCTTTATTATATGTTACAAAGTGATGTCTAGTCTCTTCCAGAAGACCTCAGACCACGCATTCATGGAGGACAAGGCCCAGTCTTCTGGTTTCCTGTCTGTGCCTCACACTTCAGAATATATGAGATTTATTAAATACTTCAGAACAAGTGGTTTGGCTGATGATCAGCCTCTTTTATTGTAGTCACACACTAATATTAGCCATGACTCCCTAACACTACAGCAGAACGCAAAAAGCAAAGAATTATGAAAAAAACCAGCTTGGCAATAGTTTTGAAATGAAACAGACAAGTTAGCTATTTAGTGTTCCAATAGCAAAAATCATTTCTGCTGTCTTAAAAAGAAAATCTAGGGTGAACAAATGCAGCCGTGGTACTCACTATGATGCTATGTTGGAAATGAATGATAACAACTTATGGGTGGGAAAACAGAAGGGAAAAACAGAGAGAGAGAGCTAGGGATGGGATGAAATGTATTAATTACTTAACTTATATAACTGTAACCCCTCTGTTTATCACCTTTATAATAACAATATGAAATGCAAATTGAAAAGAGAAGCTAGCTAGTTTTTAGACCACAGATAGGTCCTGTAAAGCTATGTTTTAATCTGTTCTAACTAGTATTAAGAAGACCAGTTCTTTGTAAGACCGGGGGCTTATTGAGTTTATAGGTAATTATATATCTAGATTATATGTGAATAGGTACAGAAAAAAAATCATTCAGCAGGACTTGCTTTTTCTAAGCAAGTCATATTGTGTATCTCTAACATTCATTCATTTCCCTGACATCTATGAAAATATAGCAGTATGACAGTGGTAGAAAAAAGGTTCCCCAAGCATGACAGTGGTAGAAAAAAGGTTCCCCAAGCTGTAACTCCCCAAATCCATCACAGATACATAAATTGAACAGGATTATATCTTAGTTCTCAGGAAGATCTTCATTCCTCATACTGATCGATAACCACTGGTAGAAAGACATTCTGATTGTTTGGTAGAGCAGAAGAAAGCAGGGCAGAAAGATATGGCTATGTTTACGCAACACTGAGTTGGTGGAGAAGGACACTGACACCATTTTGAAACTGCAACAGGAAGCAAGTTTGAGATGTCACCACACTACCAAATAAAACTGAGAAGGAGAGCTCATCCCGTGGTGGATACAAAAGAGGTAGGGAGTTTATTTGTGTAGGATTATGAAAACAACAACAAGGAAGCATGCTGGTGTATAGAAGCCAGGGTCCCTGAAATAGGTTGGTATAAAAGACCCACCAAGGGCGGCATTGTGGAAGCAAACCTGCTCCACTGGCACCATGTCTTGTTTTAATTCCTGTCTCCAAGGATCCTGCAGTGTCCCTACCGGCCCAGCCACCACCCTCCGCTCCTCTGACATATTCTGCCCATGTGAGGTCTGCCTGCCCAGCACCTGCCCACACAATATCAGCCTCCTCCAGCCTGCCTGCTGTGACACTACTTCCCCACCCTGCTGTGTGCCTGACTCTTACGTGGCATCATGTTGGCTGCTCAACAAGGGCCACCCTGCCCCAAATGTGGCCGGGATCTCTGTCACCACCTGTGTCCAGCCTTGTGAGTGTCAACCTCCTTGCTGCTAGCCAAACACGGCAAAGCACCTCCCAGGTGCTCCCTAAGGATCTTGAATGGTCACTAAAGGCTGCTCAGTAAATGGCTGGGAGATGCTTTGACCTTGGGCCTTCAGCCTTGCAGAAGACGCTCTTTTCTCATTTTGAACAATGATTTCAATCAAGTGAGGGAAGCATCCAATCATAGATCTCCTTACTTTAAAACAAAATAAACACTACTGACACCTCCAAACCATGTACTGTTTTCATGTTTAATGCTATAAATATCTAAGGACTCATGACCTATGCATCATGAAGCCATAACTAAATCCAGCAGTATTACATTTTTTAATGACATCAATGTAAATCTCCTAGCCAAAGGAAGTCTCCCAGGGGCATAGAGACATCTAAGTAGAGTCATATGGATAAGAAAATTTCATTCTATGCTCAGAATTATTTAAGATCTCAATGTCAGCACCTTCTGTGTTATTTTGAATAACTCACATGTGTCCTTAAAGAGACAGAGAAGCCATGATTAGGTATCAACATACACTCTAATCTGTCATTTAACCCAACTCAATAAATACTTACCAAATGCATACTCTGCTAAGCATGCTCCCAAGTGCTTGAAAGAAGCAAGCAAGATTAACAAACAAGTCTTGCTTTCAAGGCCTGGCACTGAGGTGAGGAAAAAATGGTGGAAATCATACCTGGCAGAATGAAACAAGGTCTGAGAGAAGAATGCAGCCCATTTCATAAGAATAGGGAAAAGAAATGAAACCGCCTGGAAGGATTGCTTCGTGATCCAGTTTCTTTGTGAAGGAAATATTGGAGCTGCAACTTCAGAAATGAATAGGATTTTTGCAGCAGAGACTCAGAGAGGAGACTTTCAAGCTGAAGAAACAATGAGCATGGTGGACAGAGGGGCAGAAGGTCTGGAAGACTCACCTTCATTTTTATTTGTTGGCCTTTATGATAACTACCCAATATTTAAGCAAAAACTAAGCCTATTGCACAAAAAGACCTTTAGTAGTATCCCCATTACCAATGACATTTGAGGTTTTTTCTGATTTTTTTTCTGATAACTGATGATTTATTGGTTGAAAAAAAAGTCATTCATCAGTGCAAACTGCAATCAAAGGAAACATTAGTTCACAAAAGGATTCAAAAAACAGTTTGAGAGTGAGGCCTGTTCACGATGAAAAAACTTTGGTTTCTTTTAACCTTCACCAGTTGATATTTTTCCCCCTACTGACTTTTTTCAGTTAGCATTTTTCTCTTTTCAACAGACCATCTTCGTTTGGGGTAATGTCCTGTCAAAAAAAACCTCATTAGGGAATCTATACATTATATTCCTTCAACAATCATTTGCTGTCCAATAACTTAAGTGATGTTGATTCCACTCACTGAATAGTTTTGTGCTGATCATGAGGAGGTATGTGAAGATGTGGGAATTAAAGAAATTATCCAGTTCAAACCCTCCCCGTACACACACCCCAACATCTGGCAACCTACAGGAAAGCAACTCAAGGCCAGGTAAGGTGAAGAATGTGGTCAAAGGCATCCCTAAAGGAATTTACAACAGTGTTGAAGATCTAAGAGATGAAAACAACTAAGCCTACTGAGTAGGAAGTAAGTCCATGACAAGACAATATTATGAATGCCTCAGTTGTATGCTGTGCTGGGTCAGGTCCCCTTCACAATCCACTGTTAACCTGTGCATCTTGTGATTTCCCCCCTTTCAGGTCCTGTTTCATGTCCTCATGGATATCATACATGTCAAAATGATATAGATTTCTTCTATAATAATGGAATGGGTCTTCCCTTTCCACCACTTTACTCTTTGACTTGTACAAGGTTGGTACCTTTGAGAATAAAGATGAAATGAAAAGAAAAACATATGGCAACACTACCTTTGAAAACTCACCATAGTTTACCTAAAATAATGACAGCTACTTTAACCCAACACCATTGTGCATGTGACCTTGTTTGCTCATTAGCACCTGAATTATATGATCAATAAAAAAGATATATGCTTGAGGTGCATACTGGCAGAGGGAAGAGTCATCAGTGGGTAGACATATCCTTATAATGAGCTGAAAACAGTTCAAATGATCACTTGAGTTGCTTGTTCTAAAATTAGCAAAAAGAAAAAATCACATTATATTATGAATACTACTTAAAATGCAGGTGGGGAGGAAAAAAAGAAGAAGACCTGCACCTCTAAAATTACATCTGAATTGTCCCTTGGACTGACTACCCATCGTTCATGCAACAGGTGCCATGCCAGGCTTCCTGTGAAGATATCATAATGTCATGATCTTGTGACAAAAATGACAGATCCATGAGTCAAAACCATGATTGCTTTAATAAGGGCAGGAAGTCTTAACAGACAAGAAAATGCCAAACTGATTAAAGAATCTGAGTGAAAAGAGCTGTCATAAACAAAAATAAGGACAGGAAGCCTCCCGGTTGGGCCCACACCCATTGGGGACGGGTATATAAGAGCCCCAAAGCAAGAGCAGGCATTTGAACCTCAGAAACATCACCCTTCCAAGCAGCCTAAAGCCACCTCCACTGCACCCAGACACCATGGCTTGCTGTGTCCCCCGCTGCTGCAGTGTCCCCACCGGCCCCGCCACCACCATCTGCTCCTCTGACAAATCCTGCCGCTGTGGAGTCTGCCTGCCCAGCACCTGCCCACACACCGTCTGGCAACTGGAGCCAACCTGCTGTGACCACTGCCCCCCACCCTGCCACATCCCTCAGCCCTGTGTGCCCAGCTGCTTCCTGCTCGGCTCCAGCCTGCCCACCCCAAACATGGAGACCCTCAACCTCACCACCTACACTCAGCCCTGCTGTGAGCCCTGCCTCCCCCGCTGCTGCTGAGCCGTGACTCCCTGGCTCTGAGCGGATAACCAACGACCCAGGGACTCTGTGTTCAATGTTCATTTGTCTCAGCAGCTTATTGGAAGTGAGGTAGACCAGATGGCTGAGATATGAAAACCCTACTTTTGATTCTAATGGAGAGAAAGATCACAAATGGTTTATGATTTTTCTGGCTGAATAATCACTTGGCTCATAGTATTAAAATGCTATCAGATGATGTCTTCTTGTTTCATGCTGCTTTCTGGATTTTTCTCCCTCTATTGAGTCTTTCCATAGAGGCAAAATAACCCCCTGATGGGTTTTCTAATAAATTTCATTTCCCTGGTCATATGTGTTTTTTATTTATGTGAGTGTTTGGGGGTTATTTCTGCTTTTTTTTCTTTTTAGGGATAAAGATGGTTGTTTTAATTATTTTGGAAAAAATTTCCATTAAGGGATCACTTAGAACTGACTTTTCATGGGTTACATTTTCTGATCCCCTTGATCTCCTTTTTTCCCAGATAAATATAATTTGGTGATGATTCAACACTTGCCTAATTTTTGCCAGATGAATCAAATGTACTTAATTCTTAAAATAGCATTAATAGATGACAAAAGTGAAGCTTTAATTATTCAGCATTCATAAAGTCATAAAATCAGTAAGAAAAGCAGAATTTAAACCTTGGTATGCCTCACTCAAAAGCCCAATTCTTTCTATCACATCATAAGGCCTCCAATATTAATAAAGGTAGAAGATTTTTGACCAAAGTTATGACATCAATGTAAAATATGTAAGAGAAATAATTATAAATTTCTTTAACAAAATCATCACACCTAATTATAATAGAAAAATGTGCTGGCTCAGAGATTAACATTGGCAGGTACTCATTCTTAAGATCTGGGTCATTTAGTAGGCTAACCTTTTTCCAATTTCAATTTTCTTTAGAAAAACCTTAAAATGATTAACTCTAGTAGCAAGGCACTATAAACTGTAGGCCAGCATATTAATATTAGCATAAGCTGGGTACCAGGGGCTCACACCTGTAATCCTAGCTACTCAAGAGGCTGAGGTATGAGTATTGGAATTCAAAACCAGTAGGAATTCAAAACCAGAGTAGAAAGGTCCAATAAAGTCTTATCTTCAATAAACCAGAAAAAAAAAAAATAAACAGAAGTGTATGGGCTGGGAAGGTAGCTCAGTGGTAGAGTGCTTACCCTGCATGCATGAGGCCCTGGGTTCAATTCCTCAGCACCACATAAAGCAAAAAAAAAAAGCCGGAAGTGGCTCTGAGGCTCAAGTGGTAGAGTGCTAGCCTTGAGCTGAAGAGCTGAGGGACAGCGCCCAGGCCCAGAATTCAGGCCCCACGTCCGGACCCAAAAAAAAAAGAAAAAAAAAACAGAAGTGGAGATATGGCTCAAGTGGTAGAGCACCAGCTTTGAGCAAATAAATAAAGGAGAATGCCTTGGACTTGGGTACTGTCACAAATATGTACATATACATACGTTAATAAGACAATTGGCAAAAGAATGCCAGTACTTTTCAGGTGATAGTTTTGGAGCTGGAGCTAAAGTCTTTATTAAATATATTTAATCCATTAACTGATTTTTATTAACTTACTTAATTTTGTCTTCTTGTAGGGTATCCTTTTCTGAGTCTAGAAATAAAATGCATTTGAACAGATGTCTACTTTTATATACCACATATACAACACATATCTGAACACAAATCAAAATCTGAACATAGCATTGAGTTAAAAGCCAAAAAGAATGCTTGTAGGGGAGACAGTCAGGCAAGGAAGGGGAGAAGCAAGTACTTTTAGGATCTTTAATACTAGAGCGATTCCTCAGAGAATCCCAGAGGCTACCTAACAATTTAACTCTGAGGGGATAGTGCTTAAAAGATGGGACACAATCTAGCATGTTACTAACAAGAGATCTGACTTACATTTCTCATGCATTTCACCTGTATTTCTTGAGAATTGGCCTTTGTTAGTCCAATACTCTTGTGCCAGGAGTATATACAAAAAAAAAAAAAATGCTCTGACCTGAAGTGGCCATAAGTTTCCCTTAAATCAGGTGAAGGAGACAGGTTGTAACTACAATACATACATTGCATATGTTGTAAGTATGTGGCCACATTCTGTGATTCTCTGACTGAGAAGGAA